CATCGTAAAATCTCTACTGTTTCTCTTATATTTGCCTCAGCTTCAATCCGAGCTCCAAGCTAAAATCTAAGCTCTTTACATGTAGAACTGAGATAAGAGTAACGGCGTCCTTCAACTCGTGAAAATAGCATAAGCTCGAGGAAGTCCAGCTGGGAAAGAAAGCCCCTCTGTCAACTTGACTCCTCGAATTCGTGGCTAACAAAATGACAGGAAAAGGTTCGCGGGGAGTATTTTTTACACAAGAAAGGCGTAATTTTGACCATTTAGGTGGTCTTACCGTCGTACTTCGATGAACTATACATTGGTACTCGCTTTAATTATTACAGAGAATGATGATGATGGTAATGATTTTTAGGTGTCCTGAGCGGCTGAGCTCGTTCAAGAACTGGACACACTGTATTCATAAAAATCCACTACTGCGCAAAGCTGGCGGATGTTACAAAATGCGTATTCTACCACTGACGGACATTCTGATTCATATCGACACTAGTGATCTCACCAGGGATTGTTTGGAAAAAGATTGTCCAGAGTATATACCGTGACTGTGAGCAAGCAGTGATAAATGCCCAGTCTTTCTAACGCTTTTTTACACTTCTCGTCTGAATGCTTTTTTTTAATTCACTGCAAAATTTGTGTGTAAAATTATGCTGATTCTTATGAAGGCCAAAGGTCTTTCTGTGGTTCAATTAGCGGAGAGCGAAAGAAGCAGAAGAAAACGGCCATCAGTGTTTTCGTCTAAATTGACTGCCTCCCACGCTGCCCATGTGATTTGTCACATTGTCCTTCCAAACTTTTTCGTACTTTCCGATGGAATCGCTTTTTTCCGCTCATTGCATAATTTGTCATTAAAATTATGCTAATTTTTATGCGTTTCTTGCATCTACGCAATGCAGACAATGCATATTGATGAGGTTGTCTGTGTGTGTTTGAGTGTCTGTGTGTGCGACTATACCGATTTTTCATCTAAAGACCTATAAAAGCTACAGGGTTGAAAATTTGGAGACTTGATCTGCATGTACGTACCCAATTCACAAAATGGACACTTTTACCAACGTGGTACCCACGTACGGGCCCGCTAAAGTTTTTTTCGGGTAAGTCGCTAACTCGAGGATTCGAAAAACTAAAAGAATGAAACTTTAAGGGTGTGTTACCCCTCCAAATAGGTATTAATGAGTTCAGATCCAGCCCTTGGGTATGCATGGTTCCTATCTACGGACCATGAAAGTTTTTTGCGGGTAAGTTGCTAACTCGGAAATCAGGAAAACTAGAAAGCTGAAATTTTAAGCGGATATTTTCAGACAGTCCTGGCAGTCAGTCTCAATTCTTTTAGCTAGAAGTATTTGCAGGAAAAACCGGAGCCGTTAACAACAAAAACTTACGGGGAACTGTGCAACAAAACCCATCTTCACACCAGTGCGCGGGCCAAACATTCATGAATGACGAAAGCCACTGATCAGTTCAGCTAGCCGAGAGCGAAAGGAGCATAAAAAGACGGTCGTCAGTATTTTTTGTCGAAGCTGGTATACCACTGTCTGTCTTTGTGTTTTGCGTGCCGAAGGCCTAGTGGTTGAACCTGGGCTGCAAAAATCATGGTCGTCCCTTCTCTAAGTGCCGTTCGCTAAATAATATAAATATGTGGATTTTGCGTATGACAACATTTATTCGTGGATGCCTTCTCTGAGTACCGACAAAACTAGACAGATTTGGAGCTCCTGGCTTGACTGAGGTGCAACTGAGCTACCTATTTGAGTATATTTTCTGCCCTTGGCGCTATATCCCGTCGGTTTAACCCATAAATCTATCTGTCGCGTGTATTCATCATTCTTTCCAAATACTCTTTCGTGATTCACTGATGTACGGAATTCACTGATTACCCGCAGAGCACCGGTAACATCCCAACAATCGCATTTACTTACCCTGAACCGATTTCTTAACAGCACCCATTATCCGGAGTGCTTAGGAATGTCTCGTCCATTCCTCAGAGTTTGGTCGTCACAACCGCCACAATCCAGTGTCTTTCCCTCGTTACTGATAATTTTTCATACTTCTGCTTCAAACAAGTATCATACTCAATGCTCCATATACGGAACACATTTACTCAATAATTTATGCATATCAAAGATGCTTTGAACAGATAGTGTCTTTTCGCTACAAAGAGTTTTATCAAATATTGTAGTTGCCGGCCTCCTCGACTTGGTA